TTAATAATACTTTTTTTTTTTTAAAAAAGAATCTATACCATGAAATTCCCAAGCGATTTTGGGGATGATTTTCAACTCTGAAAATTTTCAATATTACTTGTTTTCAAAACAACTCTGACATACTGTTGTTGTATACCATCAAGGTGGAACTGACCCATACATAATCCTCCAAAGAGTTTCCAAAGACTGTAAATCACACAGGAGGAGACTGCCCATCCTTCTCCCATAGAGCAGCTGTTGGATTTGAATCATGTTCCTTTGGTTTGGCAATGTGGCTTCATACCATTACGCCACTAAAAAAAGGAGACTCTAAATTCAGCAGAGGCTCAAGGGGTGTCAACCTTCTAGCCTCAGACAGAGGGCATGCAGCCAGATAGCTAAGAACTGACCTATGTCTCCTAATACCTGAACCAACAGGCAAACCATGATATTCTGTGAAGGGGAAGGTTCTTATCCCAGGGAATCACATTAAACCCAGGTTGACTGACTGAAGAGTCTGTGCTTAAGCACTGGGCTATCAGGACTCACAGCACATCATTCTATTGCCTGAAGAGCTCACCCACCAGAGACCAAAGAGCCAATTTGCCTACACCACTTCAAAGGCTGCACATCTGTGGAAGATCGAAGCCAGCAGTGGCTTCTTGGGAGAAAGATGGGCAATTTCCTCCCATGTGATTTATAACTTTAGGAACTCAATAGAGGGTCAGCTATGAGTTTGCTTTAACTTGACAGCAATGAGTGAGAGCTATGAGCAAAATTCAAAATCATAAGAAACAAAATGAGAATAAACTTAGAAGCCCTAACCTAATGGATAAATGGGCTCTAAACAGAGCCAGAAATACAGAACCGAGAGAGGATTAAATCAATTACTGGGACCTTCTAAAAATCAAGTCCCTGTGTACATCAACAACTTTTCCCAATAAGGTGAAAAGAAAGCCTCCAGACTGGGGGGGGGAACCCAAACATTTGACAATGACATTTCAGGTAAGAGTCCCATAACTAAAGTTTACAGAACACTGCAGAGCTTCTACAAGAATTTGCATTTAAAAAACACTTAAAAAGTGGTCTAGAGGTATAAAAAGCCCTTTAATTGTTATACCTCTGCACATCATTATTGTGTGTAGCATTTAACCAGAACCTATCCATAGCTGACCCTCCATGGTGTTTTCAGAGGCAGTAAATTATACAGGAAGAGACTGCCCATCTTTCTCCTGTGAAGTAGGTTATGGATTTGAGCCATGTGCCTTTGAGTTGGCAGTGCAACTATTTGCTACTAATCCACCAGCACTCCCCTGTAAATCATTAAAGATTCCAAAATTGGTCACTCCTGCTATATGAAGAAAGGCAGCTGTCTGTCCTCACTTCACACTGTCCATCGTCTGGAAATGAGTGAGTCCGCAGACAGTGTCTGCTAAGGGTCATTCATTAGGAACCCTTAGGAAATCATCACGGCTCACAAGTCCCAGGCAGAGTGGACGGACGTCAGGGATGATGTATGAAAGCAAACCAGGCATGCTTTCCTGCAACGAAAATCAATTCCTGTAAGATCCTAAGGTACCTGATGGTAAGCACATAAATCTACTTTTGTCACTTTCTACCAAAAACACATATTAAGTACATCTGCATCAAACGCTGCAGTGGTTGAGTGTCATTATTCCTGCTCTCTCCCTTGTTTGAGCATGTTAAATAGGCATACTGGGAAGGAAAAGAAAAAGCTTCTTTTACATATAAACAAAAGGCCAGAATGACTCCTAATAAATTTGAAATGATATATAAATATCTTCTAAACTTTGATCATGCCACAATTGTTGTCATGTGCCATCAAGTTGAAATTGACCTATAGTCTACCTTCCAATGGGTTTTCAGAGGTAGTAATTCACATGGAATGAGATTATCCATCTTTCTCTCACAGAGCAGCTGGTAGATTTGAACTGTGTACCTTTGGGTTGGCAGTGCAACTTCTTATAACTAGGCCACCAAAGTGGACACATTTCCAGTCCAGATAATGTAGTATCTGGCTACCTGTATTATGAATGCAACAATTTCAACAACTACAAAACCGAATTCCTCAGGCTTTTGTGACAGAATTAATATGCGTGGTCTTATTCATTTTTTTTCTGATCATAAGATCTGTAACTATCATAATGAACAGAGAATCAAAAGTCACAGGAACATTTAAAAACAAAATATCATCATTCCACCTGCTTCAAGCAAGTACCACTGGTCACATTCTCATCTCTCTTGAATTGTGGGGTTGGTGAAGAGTACTGGATATCTGGTGAACTGTTCAAAGAACAAACTAATGTATCCTGGAAGAATTGAAACTAGGGCGCTTTGGAGGTGAAGGGGTGAAACTTGGACATGTTGTCAGAAATGGTCAGTCCTTCGAAAACACATCATGCTGAGAAATGTTGAGGATCAGTAAAAGTGAGGAAGACCCTCAAAAAGTTAGATTGCTACAGTAACTGCAACAAAAGTTTTAAGAGGGGTAGAGATTGTGGCAATGGTGAAGAATAAATCAAGGTATTTATCTGCTGTTCATAGGATCACTGTGAGTGGTAGTTGACCCAATGATTCAATAACAACACTTTATCAGAATGACTTGTTCTGGAATGACCATACAGTTTGGGATAACGAGATGCAAGGACTCGCTGTTAGTAGTTTTAGAAAACAGCATCCTCTTTATTTCCAAAAGTGAGTCAGTGAAAAATCTATGGATGATGGGAAAAGCATGGGATGATGAGAGTCTTGTTTTGACAAGGTGCCAGGAGCTAAAAACAATTCCACAGCAGCCAAGGACAAGTACTCAGGACAGATCAATTCTAGGAGCAGTCTTCTTTCACTCCTTGTATGTCTGAGAGGCTGTGGCAGCATAGGAGCTGTCAGCACCTAAGTAATGTCACAAAAGATAGTCCTCATTGAACAAGGATGTCACCATGGAAGGCAGATGAGATGTAAAGAAACTTGGATTTGATAGTTTAATAGCATATTAATAAAATCTACCACGAGACTGTTGGTTGTGCAAGTCAATAAAACACTTCTGTGGTTTAAGGCAAGGAGCACTGGTGGCTGTGGTTAAGTGCTTAACTGCTAACTAAAAGGTTGGCAGTTGGAATCCAAGAGATGCTTGGTGAGAGAAAAATGAGGTAGTCTTCTTCCATGAAGATTGCACAGCCTTAGCAACCTGACAGGACATCTCTACTCTGTCCTACAGGGTTTTTCAAATCAGAATCAACCAGGTAGCATACAACAATATTGTTAA